ACCATCAGAGGGGGGGGGGTCAAGTTTGCTTTCTTTGGAAGGCAGCTTTTAAAGCGAACAAGTTTCATTAGCCACCTTTTTTTTGTTCTCGAGTTATTTCAATGTCTTCTGATAAATTTGGATTTTTATCAATTACAGCGCCACCTGTGAACCAAAATGTTAAAGTTCGTAGGTCAACTTGGCGTACTTTTTCCTGGAGAATCCAAATTTGCAATACAAAATTGGGGTTCCTATTTAAGTTTCTTATGTCCCCCACCCCCACCCCGCCCCCGGGGGGCGGTAGGGGCCGAGTTTGGTATCATTGGATTCCCCCCTTCGTGTCGAGCTACTTTCGTTGCACTTCTTTTTTTATCTTATGTATAGTTCTCGAGATATTTCAATGTCTTCAGATAAATTGGCCACTCTGTATATGTATATACTATATACCGGGTGAGTGCGAGAGAATAAAACGCAGGAGAATCGATTTTTCACCTAGATCAATCGTAATAACTACAAACAACGTAAACTATACTTTTTTAAAAGAGATTATAAAGGAGTTCATTTGAACAGAAATCATTATTTTAAACTGTCATTTTACAATGAGGTTTACATAATGTTATTAATAATACATAAACATTTATCCTCACGCACATTAGGCAGATGTCATTGTATAAATGTTATAAATCTGCTGTTTAGTGAACAATTTTTGCCACTTTGAACTTTATTCACAATTTATTTACTTATTTCTGAGGTTAAATATAGCTTTCCCTATATTCCATTCTCTCGCACTCACCTTGTATTTACAAATTACACATTAAAATAAAACATTTATGTAAATTAATTTCTTTCAAGAATACGAAACCACTTACCTTGCGACACTATTTTCGTACTTTCTCAAAATTAGGTTATCTTTCACGTCGGGATTTGTTTATATTTTTGCCTTCCCCACTTTGATGTAAAGTCGCAAAACCCGGAACATCCTATTGGTCGTCTCTGCGCAGCCACCTAACTGCTATACCTTACTTATTATACCATGGTCTGGAGTAGAGCTGTCCTTCAATGTTGTCTTCAACTTCTCACGTATGAACGCTCCGTCTATCTTATAAGTCTATGAGGTATTCCTATCCGCCATTTTGGGTCCACTTGACAGATAGGTTATATTACGATTAGTACGTGGTGACAATGTAAATGTATCAAAAATTAAAATAAATTGCCGTTCAGAGCCAATTTTCATTTCATGAAAAATTCAATGCATGAAAAATTCATGCATTGAAAAGGACCTGGATTAAGGTCGAAACGTATGCAATTTGCAATTATATGTAACTAAATCAATTTTACTACACACCTTCATCCTGTGTTGGCTCTCAACGGCAATTTATTTTAATTTTTGATACATTTACATTGTCACCACGTACTAATCTTACTATAACCTATCTGTCAAGTGGACCCAAAATGGCGGATAGGGATACCTACATCTCTAGTGCCTTACCAAAAGTCGCCTAATTGAAACGCGCTTCCAAAACAAAAAATAAAAACCGGAAAAATATCCTACATTCTCTGTAACCAGTATGTATTTTCCTTCTTGACATTGCACTATCTGACGTGATTGAGATCACTTGTTCGTACATATCTGCAAATTCGCTTCAGTTTTAATATTATGATAATGGATCTTTTGCACTTATGTTTTGCTGGTTATTATTCGTATTTTTTATCTCTAAAGGTGCGTTCCACTTGACGCTCGCAACGCTCATGGAATCATTTCATCCTTGTTGTTTATTAAATGTTAAACAAGAACAAATAACGCTTGCAAGCATTGTGAGCGTCAAGTGGAACGCACCCTTAGTGGATTATCAACAAATATAAATGACAAAGTACATGTTTATATATATTGTTAATTCTTGTTAATTTCTTTTTGCTCACAATTATTTTTATAATACCCAATTTTATACAATCTGACTTTTGAATTTCATCTTTTTGACTCAAAGCATGAAGAACAGGATAATTTTTGAAGGATAACGAATTTTGTAATATTCACCTTATAGTAGGGGAGGCCGAGAGGCTAAATGTGGATTTACTCGAGCGTCGTGGGGACCTATTGGATTGTGAAGATTAGATGCTAAAAAGAAAAAAAGGTTATATGATGTATACCGTTTCAGTGGTGGGAGGAGCGTGTACAGGCTTTCAAAAAAAACAGTGACAATGAAATACTCGAGCGTGTCAGATATTAATAGTGTAAGCGACCCATGTGTTTCTGATAACGGATAAATATTAATCTGACGGTTTACGTGGTGGGGTTATATTTGGTGGGGGTACTTATTAGGGTGCAAGCTTTCCCCCTTTATGTTATTCTGACGCGCTCGAGTAAATCCCAAAATCCCCGCTTGGCCTCCCCTACTATTATAGATTATAACGAATTTATTTGTAATTACTGTAACATTGAGAATGACCCGATCGGAGTCGAAATGTCTGTAGCTACATCCTATTATTATTACTTGAATTAAAGTTTTTTGTTTTGTTATATTGTATATCGGCTTTTT